CAGGAGGATTGACTGAAATACACTGCTGAAGGGAGTAGCGGGCAAGACAAGAGAGGTCTGCTGCACCATGTGGGTCACCTTCCTGCCTGTGGATTGAACTCCTGCTGCAGTAGCTGCAGATAGCTACATAATGCTGCATCTTAACTCCTTGTGCCACCAGGGAGGCCCCTTTTGTTGTGCTTTAACAGTCTTTAATGATGTTTGCCTTTATTATTTATTCCCCATCTACTTTCTCCGGAATTATATTTTTTGCTTCTTGTGGTCTGTAAGAAAGAATAAGAGGCTTACAGTATGAGAATTAAAATAATGCACATTAAAACATTGGGGAGGCATACTGTGAATTTTAAAAGTTAATCACTTTAACTTTGACATTGTAGGTAACTTAACTCACAAATCTGCTGCTGCTATCATAGTACATTGAGCTACACCAGCAGCATTTACGGAGAACATTGCAGAATGGCATGGGCTGCTAGTATGAAGAAACTTGTTGAATAATGAGCAAGGTAGTTTTGGAGAATGACAGGCATGTATTTTCCATAGTTGTGTCTTTGTGTTAGTGAAAACCGTGAGTGGAGGTTGGAGACAACTAAGTCTATTTAATGAGTTGGCAAGTTGAAGGGGTAAATACTGGAAAAATGGGTGCTATGGGAGGGTCGGGCAGCTAGTAATTTATAGAAGACCTTGCTGCTAGCTATGGTATCTGGCATTGATATGATAGTGATAGAATAATATTTTTTTATTTCTCTGGGAAGTGCCTTTTAGGCATGTTGTCCTTGTTATGTTATGTTATAGGATACCATTACATGAGCAATTCTTTGTTTTTTGACTTAACACTTCTGTGACTTTGGTTATAGTAATAAGCAAATACATTAAATTGTTGGGATATTAGTAAAGTAGGATTTCACAGAAATCTGTCTCATCAGTAACATACAGTTGCACATTTTTTTTTTTAAAGATTTATTTATTTATTGATTGATTGATTTGTACATACATGCATACAAGCACTGGGTACAGCCAGAAGCGCGGGAGGGTGAGAGAATTCACCAGAGGCAGAGCGGGGAGCAGAGCAGGCAGAAGGACCGAAGTACACTGCTGAGGGGAGCAGCGGGCAGGAGGAGAGGTCTCGCGCCTTGTGGGACCCTCCTCCAGTGGCCGGGGAGCAGCTGGGGATTAAACTGACGCTGCAGAGGCTGCGCCACCGGGGAAGCCCCCAACTATATATTTTTTGACAGAAAGGGAAAATCAATAAGAAATAAATTCACATTACAGATTTTATTTTGAAAAAGAATCTCTGAGAGTTTTATTATAGTATAAATTAATATTTTATTCACTTTTTTTTAGTTATTCTGTATTTTCACTGAGTGAAAACTAATTACTAGAATCATGTTTTGGTCCTGAAGTGTGTAGAATCAAATTAGGATAATAGACTATAATGTTTGTACAATAGCTAGAGTTAATACAAAAATGCCCCTCCTCCATTATTATTACTTTCTTTTAATCCTAGAACTTTAAATTCTGACTGATTATTGTTCCAAGTTTTTAGAATGAGCCTTTAATTTTCTAATTTCTCCTGTGATTTCTTATTTGATTCTTGAATAATTTAGATCCATAATTTATTTAGAAATTATTTAAGTTCTATGTATTTGGGTTTTTCTAGATGTTTTATTAAATTCTGATTTACTTCTGTTGTGGTCAGATAAACATTCTTTAAGACTTCCACTTATGAATTGACCCATTGATCATCATTAAGTATTTATTTTGAGTGATGCTGTTAGTTTCTGCAGTTTAGTTTATTTGATATTAATGTATTCATTCCAGTCTTCCTGTGCTTACTGTTTGTACAAGGTCAACTTGTCTAGATGTTTAAAATACATATTTTGAGAATAGCATATAGTTGTATATACGTACAACTATAAACATATACAACTGTAGTTATGTTGTATGTTTTTGTTTCATTTGAATATACTGTGCTTTCTAATTCAGGTATTCATTCCATTAATATTTAATATGTTTATTTATGTGTTTGGATTTAAGTCACCCAGTTTGTTATTTATTTAATATATCTCTATGTTAACTTGTGTTTTTGTACTTTCTTTCCAATTTCCTTTTAGGATCAGTGAATATTTTTTAAAATTCCCTTTTATTTTGTGTTTTATCATTTTAACTGTTTTTCTTTCTACTCTTTATTTTTCTTCTTTTGAGGTAATATTAGTTTATAACCTTGTATATATAATCTAGAGTATAGGATCTCCCTTGTCAGGTGTTGTTACCACACCATACTCCCCCACCTCTTTTTTTCATTAAGTAATTGCTCTATGGATTACATACATACCCTTACCATTTCAGTATACTTAGAGTTAGTATTTCACTATTCACATGAAATGTGGAAACCTTATAACTGTACAGGTACATTTTGCTGACCTATACCTTATTCTAAACCCTATAGTAAAACAGCATGATTTTTGCTCTAAGCACTTAACTGTTTTTTAAATAAATTAAGGAAATTGATGGTATTACACATGTTTACCATTTCTAGTGACTTAATTCTTTCCAAAGATTCATGTTCCCATCTGTTATGATTCTTTGTTAGCCTGAAGAACTTTAGTTTTTATTGTAATGCAGATCTACTACTGATGTTTATGTTTTACTTTTCTTTTTATCAGAAGTACCTTAATTTTACTTTCATGTTTGAGGGATATCATTGCTGGATATAAAACTACTGGTTGATTTTTTTTCCCCCTTTCACCATGTTGAGTTTTGTTCCACTGTCTTCTAATCTCCATTGTTTTGGATGAGAAATCAGCAGTGATTCATAGCAATGCTCCTCTGTATGTAATACGTTATTTTTTTTCTGAGTACTTTCAAGATTTCGCTTTAATTTTAGTTTTCATTTGTTTGACTATGGTGTTCTTAGTCTTAGTCTTATTCATATTTATTTTGAGGTTTGCAAACTAGAATCTAAAAATTTCTCTTTATACTCAATTAGGGGAAATTTTGGCTACCACTTTATTTTACATTATATTATTATTATTATTATTATTTTGAGGTAATATTGGTTTGCATTGTTTGTATTTTGGAAGTATAGACTCCCAACATGTCTGAGTGTGAATAACATTTTAAAAAGTTATTTTCTGGTTAATTTTCTTTTCTTGCGGCTTAAAAAAAATATTTCAGACATTTGAACATTGTCACACAGATCCCAGAGTACTTGTTTTAATTTTCATATTAGCTATCTTTTTTTTCTAATTAGTTCCTCAGTTCAGATAATTTTGATTTATTTTCATGTAGATTCTTGCCTGTTATTACCAATCTCATTTAAATCTTATTTAGAACAATTTTTAATTTCATACATTATATTTTCATTTATAGCATTTAAAATTTTTCACTTTCCCATCTTTTCTGTTGAAATTTCTTAACTTTGTATTCATCACAAGCATAATTATATTTACTATGACTTTAAAATCCTTGCCTGTTAATTCCAACATCTGGCTCTTCTCAGAATTGCTTTTTATGGATCGCCTTTTCTCTTGAGAATGGATCACATATTTCATGTTTCATTGTATACTAGTAATTTTGTATTTTACCCTTGGCATGATGAGGAACATGTTTTGCATACTTTGAATTCTGTTATATTTCTCTGAAGAATATATCTTTTTGTTTTTTGTTTAGCAGGAAATTAATTTAGTTGAATTAGAATTGCAAAACTCCTGACTCTTTGGAGTCAGCTGAAATATTGGTTCAATTCATTTATCCTTAGCTATTTGGAGTCTGTTATTCATGTGTCTGAAGTAGGGTCAATCAAAGACTTGAATAGAGTTTATGTATACAACTCTTGGCTCTCTTCTCCGATTCTTTTCCAGGACCCTCCTTACATTTTCTTTTTGCTGTAGTTGCTTAGAGTCTGTCTACTGGTTTTGCAGACTAAAATTTCTACATGTTTTGTTTGAAGTTTTAATGGTCCTGTGTTGCATAGACTTGGGCTTGCCTCAGACAAGGAACAGTAAAGTGTTAAGTGTTCTCTTTGTTGCTTTCTTTTTCCAAGTATTTGCACCTACAGAATTTGCTTGCTTTTGGTCACTACCCAGAGCCTTAAGACTGTTGGTTTTTTTAATAGTTATTATCTAGAGGACTGTCATTTTGGTAGAGGCTTTCTTGTTAGTATTGTAAAGCAGAATCTGAAATCTTGCTTTTAAAAATCATATAGTATATCCTACCTAATACTGTTTTTTTTTTTAATACAAAGAAAAGTTGGATTAGAGTAGAGGATATTTTTATTGTAACAATTAAAAATAAGAAATAAAGTAGAATAGATATGAAAGCAAAGATTTTAGGGATAGGAAAGCCTTATCCTTGAAATTCAATTAGATACATTTAGATTTACATTGTTTCACCTGTAAATTCTTTTGGAGTAAACATTAGTTTCCTAAAAAGTTGACAATATGCATTTCCTTTTTGTATCACATTAACTTAAAGTACTTATTCATAAAGAATCCTATTTAGATGCTTGCTTCACTCAGTTTTTTATTGATATTTTCTGAATCTGTTTCTAAAACTTAATTCTATTCTTTCAGATATTTTTAATGGATAATTTCATTTCATAATACAAAATATACACTAAATTTATTTATTTATTTATTTATTTAATTTTTTTTTTTTTTAAATAGAGGCATGTTTATTTATTTATTAATTATATTTGTTTGTTTGTTTTGTTTATACATGCACTGGGTACAGTCAGAAGCGCGGGAGGGTGAGAGAATTCACCAGAGCCACAGTGGGGAGCAGAGCAGGCAGAAGGACTGAAGTACACTGCTGAGGGGAGCAGCGGGTGGCAGGAGAGGTCTGCGCACCATGTGGGATCCTCCTCCGGTGGCCGGGGAACAGCCGGGGATCGAACCGGCGCCGCAGAGGCCTCGGGCAGCTTCGCAACCCAGCGCTCAACCGCTGCGCCACCGGGGAGGCCCTATACACTAAATTTATTTAATAAAATCTATCTCCTGTAGATCCAGGTCAAGACCTCGTCCACGTTCCCATAGTCGAAGCAGTGAAAGATCCAGTCATAGAAGAACTCGCAGTCGGTCTCGGGATAGAGAACGTCGTAAAGGCAGAGATAAAGAGAAAAGAGAAAAAGAGAAGGATAAAGGCAAGGACAAGGAATCATACAGCATCAAACGTGGGTGAGTTGAAGCAAATCTTAAGCAGTAATGACAGTGATTCCATGGAAATATTCAAGTTCAATATTCATTCTTTGAGGTTTTTCTGATTTCCACCCTGTAATTGAACTATAAGAGTAGAAGATGGAAAAAAGAGAGAATGTAGTAGAGAAAGAAGAAAGGGTAAATCAAAATAGTTTCAGGCTTTCTCTTCTGTCTGAAAGTAAAACATTTCTATTTGGTATCATTTGGTAGGTTATTTTTATTTTATTTATTTATTTTTTTAAAATAGTCTTCCTTGATCAACTGGTTAGTTGGTCACTACCTTTTTTTTTTTTTTTTAAAGATTTATTTATTTATTTTATTTATTCAAGAGCAGGGGTACAGGCCAGATGTGTAGGAGGGTGAGAGGATTCACCAGAGATAGAGCAGGGAACAGAACAGGCAGACTGATGAAATACACTGCTGAGGGAAGCAGTGGGCGAGACAGGGGAGGTCCGCTCACCATGTGGGTTGCTCTGAGGCTGAGGCCGGCAGGGATTGAACCAGCCTTGCAGAGGCTGCAGACAGCTACACAGCGCTGCGCTCAACTGCCTGCGCCACCAGGGAGGCCCGATAGGTTATTTTCAGATCTGGAAACACTCAGAAATTTTTCCATATATTAATAAATTAATGGCAGTAGCGTTCCAGACCTAAAAAAATAACCTATAATTGATACCAAATAGGTACATTCTACTTGGGATAGCAGGGGAAACCTGTACTTCAAATTTTTACAGAACTGCTTTTTTCATCCCTACTTTCATTTAGTACTTGTGTAACAAATTTTAGAAATACAAAATAATTAGCACTATTGAACTTAATATGTAAGGCAAGGAAAATTTACCTAATTCTTTAGGAAAGTTCTCTATTTTATTTTATGGATATGCATTTAAAATTTGAAGACTATTTAATTGTCTATTAGCTTATTGAAAACTGTTAGGAAAAAGGATAAAGGTGAAACAAAGGGAGGGAACCATATGATTTACTATTTGTTAGGCCTCTTTCGATATAGAATGAGGACTTGATCAATATTAAGGTATATGTGTATGTATATGCACATGAGACACAACTTTTTACAGAATTGAAATAATTATTCTAGCTTTGTCCTTTTAGAGCTGAAATCTACTCATAAACCTTTATCAAATTAGAAAATGTTGAAATGAGACAAAATCTTGATTAGTGACAAGTTACAGATTCTTATTTATTTTATTAAAAATTGTTACAAGTAGGACATCTTGGAATTCATTCCCTTTGTCAATTTTTCAACACCTTATATTTGTTTACTTTGATGCTTCAATATAAAAGTGTACTTAATGTACCCATTTTCTTTGTTAAATATAAGAGCTTATCGAGGTTTTGGATATGGTTCTTTGAGATCTTAATTCTTTGAGGAATTTTTATTAAAGGATATAGGGCTTTTCTCTCATCTTTTCTTTTTCACAGTTGTCTTTGTGTTTATTTTTGATTTCCATTTTTACAGTGGTATTATACAAACCTGCCTAGGTGGTTGGTAATATTCTTATCTCTCCTGATTATACCACAACAATGAATGTACACTTTATAGTTGTGTCTTGCAATATTCTGAGTTCTGTCCTTTTTGTAGTTTTAAGGGTTGTTGAATGTTTTAGAAGAGGAGATATCATTGGATATGTGGTTTAAATTGGTAGGGAGACTGGGTTAGCCAGGTGGAGTTGAATGAGCGTCAGTGAGAATATGGGGGAAATCTCTTGACAAAGGGAGAAAGTTGGGAGGATAATAGATGTGAAGAAGGAACACAGAGTAGATTTCTGAGACTGGAAAATATGGATTAAGAGGATAAGTAAATAAGGGAACTGTCTTCTTGCCTCTTTTTTTCCCCCTTCTTTTGGTTTACATCCTTTTAGATATAACGTGTATATGGGAATTTGTGACTATGGTTTTTGCTAGTGTTAAATTTTTCCTTCCAGCTTACCAAATTTTTCTTTTTTAGAATAATGCTTATATTCTTGTGCAAAATTAGTGTATTATATATAGCATTACTTTTATGGTAAGAAAATTGAGAGTGTGAATAAATAAGGGAGGTCAGATGGTTGACATTCATTTTGAAGGCTTAGGCAGCTTTACAGATGTACTCTTCCATCACTCACTTTTGATTGTATTTACATAAACTGATTCCTGAAGGACAGATTCATAAGATAATAATGTTTTGTATGCCATTATTCTTAAATCTCAAAAAGCTATGAACAGGATCTAAACAAGAGATACCCATTGAAGGCCCTGTGTACTCTGCCAATAAGCTGTGCATAGGCAGATTTAGTCAACTTCACTGGTTAGTGGACCATTGTGCAGGCTTTGTCAGGGTGTTCTTTCTCCTGGTGAGTGCAAGGACACAGATTCTTACCTTTTGTTAGGATCTAAATTCAAGATTTTTTAGGGGTCAGTTAGTGTGTGCATATAAGATGTATCCTGCTTCGCTCCAGAAATAATTTATCTTTTTTAAAAAACTTGCATGTTTATTTCCTAAAATTGACTTTTAAGCCATTCAGGGCTGAGAAAATGTCATATGCTTATTATGTCACTCACAATGATGTACATGTGAGATGTTAAAATTTATAGGTTATTGATCACAAATGTTCATTCATTCTTTTTTTCACTTGTTTAGTCAACAATATTTAATGCCATCTATTTCTCAAATACTATATTAGATAATGTGTATTTAATAGTAGGCCAGTCTACTTGGCAATTTCATGAAGGTGGCCAAATAAGCATTTATAGAAAGGAAGATGTGCAAGTAATTATACTGTAACCAGTTGACTGTCTTAGCAGGAATCAGTGGAAACACTCTTTGTATGAATTAGGATGTTTTTGGCTCTAAGTAACAAAACCTAACTAAAGTCACTTAACCTAGGGTCAGGACGCTTTTTGTAAAGAGTTAGATAACAAATAATTTATACTTCCTGGGCCATATGGTCTCTGTTATAACTACTGAATTCTACCCTTTTAGCATGAAAGCAGTTATAGATAATACTAAGTGAATGGCATTACTGTATCCTAATAAAACTATTCACAAAAATAGGAAGCTGACTAGATTTGACCCAAAGTTAATAGTTTGTTAAAATCTGACCTTATACCATGAGTGCATTTATTATAAAGGTAAGCAGACCTGGGCCCTTTTTAATCCTCCCCACAGGCCAGTCTCAGCATGGTAGCTTTCATTTTAGGACTTGACACATTCTGGTTGGTATTTTCATGAACATTAAGCTGGTTGATCTAGACTAATCAACTTGTCAGGCAAGGCTTCTCAGAAGAATTGATGTTTATAAATTGAAGGAAGGAAGAGAAGGGGAAAATGGTGCCTGCACAATGAGCTTCATAAGACTTGGAGACAAGCACAGGTATGGTGGTATAGTTGAGGAACTGAAATCTAACAGGACTTAGTTTGGAAATGAAGAGAGGTGTTTTTTGGAGGGCCCTTTAAGTTACATTGAGAAGTTTGGAGTTTTCTAAAGGCAGTGGGAAGCCAATGAAGAGTTTTAAATTGAGTAACTGATATGATCAGGGCTACATGAGGTATGAACAAAACGCTTTACTTACCATGGACATAATAATAATAATAAGCATTAGATTTTAAATATTTTTCTAAATGCTGTAAATTGCACTTAGCAGTTGATGTGCATTATCTCATTTAATTTTCATAACAACCTCATAAAATAGGTGCTTTTATTATCCCATTATGCAAATTGGAGCTAGTAAATGGCACAATTTTAGGCCTGTAATTCAAGTTTACTGACCACTGACCACTTAACCCAACAGGGCAATATTCTCACTTCTCTAGTTATTCATTATTATTAGTGGTGATGTATGGTGCTTGAGATCAAGTGATCCCAAACTTTCTTAGAACATAGTTAAAAACTAAAAGAATTTTCTGTGCCATATTTTTCTATAATCAGGCCAGAAATCTGTCATTTGTAAAATGATTGGTTCCTTTCTCTCTTGCCCATCCTCCCTCCCTCCCTTCCCCTTTCTTTTTTTTACTTTCTCACATCGGAACCTCATTTGTCTATTGAGAATTACATTTTATTATATTTCATAAAACCACAAAAATTTTGTAGGCACAGCCCAATAAAAAGTATTTTAGCTTGTGCTAAATAATCTAGATGCTATCTTACATAGGAGAATATAACTCATGTGTTATGTTTCATTTTTCAAAAAAATATTTATTTATCTATGCATACAAGACCTAGGGTGCAGGCCAGAGATGTGGGGTCAGGGGTGAGAGGATTCACCAGAGACAGGCTGGGGAACAGAATAGGCAGATTGACTGAAATACACTGCTGAGGGGAGCAGCAGGTGGGTGAGGCAGGAGAGGTCTGCTGGGACATGTGGGCCACCTCCCTGGCTGGGGATTGAACTTATGCTGGGGTGACTGCCTATAGCTTCATGGTGCTGTGACTTAACCCCTTGCGCATCAGGATGGCCCTTGCTTCTTTTTTTTTATTAATCAAATCTGTTTGTAAACATCAATATTTATAAATATTGATAGAATATAAAGCATACATTTATAAAGTACAAAGCAAGAAGTGTAAGTGCAATAATGATAAAGGAGTACTTTATAAATTGGGAAAACTAAAAACAGGACAGACTGCTCAAACAAAAATTAATGAGCCTAGGAATGAGGAAGGGCTTTTTTATTAGACCTTTGAGAAAGAAGATACCAAGTTAGAGAATTCTGTAAAATCTTTTCTAAACAGTAGCTAATTAAGTATGGTTCTGGAAATTCCTGGAACATTTGACTGATTATAATCAGAATTTGTCATATAATGTCATAAATTGAGCTATTCACTTTATTAGTCTGCTAGATAACAAAGACCTAATATAAACTCTCAGGGGATCATATGTGTAGGGACTAATATGTGCCTTTCTATATAACACTCTGAAAGATTAATGTAAGAAAGACACCCACTGAATCCTGTCTCAGCTTTTTATCAAGAAAATTTAATGACATT